CACGCACGCACGCACGCACGCACGCACGCACGCACGCACACACAGATAGACATACACAAACTCCCTTTTTATCTCTTTCTCTCTCTCTCTCTCTCTCTCTCGCGCTTCTCTCCCTCTCTGTCTCCCTCTCTCTCTCTCTCCCTCTCTCTCTCAACAGAGATGACAACCATCTTTCTTTTGCCCCACAGAGTTAGGACTTCTCTGTCTCTCTCTCTCTCTCTCTCTCTCTCTCTCTCTCTCTCTCTCTCTCTCTCTCTCTCAACACAAGAAAACCTCTCTTCTCTTGCCCCACAGAGCAGGCCCTCTCGCCACCTTTCTTAATACAGAGATGACAACCCTCCTACTATCTACTGATCTTCCTGGCTTCTTCTTCTCTCCCACAGATCTGGGACTTCACTCTCGACACAGCGGACGAGGAGGCTGAGGAAGATGACGACGACGATGACGCCAGCAGCTTCGCGAGCTCCCTCGACGACGACGACGGCGACGGCGGCGGGGGGCGGGACGACGTTGACGGGCGCGACAGTCCGCCGGCGGACGACGCGCGGCAGTTCTACGCAGAGGTGCTGGACAGCCTGCAGCGCGGCGTCGACGAGGACGTGCGCGCCGACAACCTCGTGCTCGAGGTCAACTCGTCCAAGTACGCCTACAACGTGACGATGCGCGAGCTCAACACGCTGGTGACGCGCGCCGTGCTCGAGATGCCGCACATACGCGCGGGCGGCGACGACGACGCCGCCGCGCTCACGCCGCCGCAGCTGATGTTACAGGTAGGTGGCGCTGATGGTGTGGCGGGGTGAGGGGGGGGGAGACCATGCACCTACGCGCGGGCGACGACGACGCCGCCGCCGCGCTCACGCCGCCGCAGCTGATGCTACAGGTAGGTGACACCCGCACGTGGAGAGATCAGGTGGGGTGGGTGGGAAGTAGGGGGGCAGGTGAGGAATGGGGGTGGCTGGGAAGTAGGGGACAGGGCAGACATGGTGTGGTAGTGATTTATGCGTGGATCTTTCCGTAAAATGAATTTTAGATCCTCGATCTAGCAACGACATTTCTTGTACGAGTAAAAAGTAATGTCTGTTTTCCATGCTTTGATGGCAATGACTGCAGAGCTGAGGTAGAGTGGTACACTAGTGAGGGTTTTTTGTATGGGTTGTCTGTTTCAGCTGAAGCCACTGCTAGTGAAATTCGCTCCAATTCTCAGCAATTATTTTAAGAGTGCCGATTCACAACTTGATTGCCTGAACGCGCTAGAGGTGAGTTAATCACACACCCAACCCGACACTGAATCCACTACTTTGTTCTACAAGTGTTTCTACTTCTATTAGATTTTGTTGGAAGGTAAAAAGAAACTTAGAACTAAAACCAGTATGAAATATGTTATAGGATGAAGTAATGGAATCGGAGATAAATTTTTCAAGTTTAAATGTAAAGTCTGAAGTGACTATTCATATAAAACATATTAAAGGCACTATGGTAAGGCTTGCATTGTAATCTCAGTTATTCACAGTCTTACAGTAGTTGGTTTTTATTCGGTCAACATCTTCTGCTGGTCCTCTGCTGAATTATTTCTACTGATTGACCTATAATGACCTCTCGTCTGGTGACCTGGTAGCTGTTGTTCAGCGACGTGTGCATTTGACGCGTTGCAGGAGTATAGCCTGGGCTGCAGCAGTACGGCAGCAGTGCTGGCCAAGGTACTGCACTATCTCTACAACGAGGAGATCCTAGGTGAGCAGGTGATCATGCAGTGGTACACGAAATGCCAGCATGCCGACCTGAAGTCACAGGTAAGATATGAGCAGAGCTGAATGGGGAATAGCTGAACAATACTGAGTAAGATAGGAGATGGAGCACGAAGCCGGCCTGGGATAGTTCCACATTATCTGTCGGCACAATTCGGCGCAACAAAAGCAATACCAGTGTCCGTGAGTGTAAATAAACAAGGTCTTCTATCTTCTTCAGATTCCGTGTTCTGACTGCCTTCACCGTATTAAAGATTCTGTCATTCCTTACGTTGTTGGGTGTTTTCCTCACTAATCTTTCGGTCGGCATTTACAAATAATCTTTTTCACCCGAATCTATGTGTTAATTTAATGTGCGGGTAACACGGAAACTTAGATGCGTGGCTTCCTCTGACGCAGCGGGTTTCCATTGCGGGTTTTAGGTGCAGCCATTCATCACGTGGCTTCAGGAGGCTGAGGAAGAATCGGGATCGGACGAGGAATCGGAATGATGCAAGCGACGTGCGATCTTACCTCGCCGATGCATTTATTATTGTATTACACAATGTTTTGTTGTATAAACCAGCTTATAAAAACAAGGGGGATTTTTTTAGTGCAGGGTGATTATCAGAGGGTATCATTCGGAAGGGAATAGGGAATCTCAGATGCGACTGTGTCTGTACGTGCGGTGTTTGGTAAAATTGTAAATCAAGATGAAAAAAACACTAATAAAACATGACAAGTGAACAACAACAAGGAATGCTGGTGTTTCTCTTCCTTCACATATATTAATCACTATCTTATATTTCCTAAAGTAAAATCTAAGATTCTTGCACGCGCATTATCGCTCATGATACCATGTGTCAAATAAATACCGCCGTCGGCGCCCCCTACGGCTCACAGTGCATGTGACAATAGAACGTCTCTCGCGATCAGCTGCTTGGGGATTAACACAGTCAAACTGTTTTGATCATGACTCACCGAGGCGGGCGCGGCGCAGCAACAAGAACAGCACAGCAATACGCGACTTTGTCGCTATTCCGTACCTCCACGAGGAAAATGTGATGCTGCGTTTGTGATGCCGCTGCTGCTACTACTGCTGCTGCTGCTGCTGCTGCTGCTGCTACTGCTACTACTGCTGCTGCTGTTGCTGCTGCTGCTGCTACTACTGCTGCTTCTGCTGCTGCTGCTGTTGCTGCTGCCACTACTGTTGCTGCTACTGCTGCTGCCGCTGCTGCTACTGCTGATGCTGTTACTACTGCTGCTGCTGCAAACCCACAGATCACTCTCCCAAAAGAACTGTCAAACAACTGCCTACCATGTTCTACCTCGACTTCTATATATGTTGTGGACACGGCTGCACCCGAGTAGGTAAGACGCGTTGCCAATGTCCGCCAGCAACGCTAACTGTCTAGCCCCTCTTCTACTCACTATGCAACATGACATCTCGCTACCGGTGGCTTCACCTGGTGGCGAGCGTACAAACCGACATACTGCACTAATAATCGGTGTAGTGCTACTGCTGAAGCTGGGTTTACAGTACCGACTTTACGTTGTCAATTTGTCCGTATGAAGTCGGTAGCGTACACCCAGCTTCATACCTGAAATGAAAGGCAAGAGACGTGCAAGAGTCTACGCAGAATGGGAATTCTACCGGGACTGCCGATCGGTAGACGCCCACAGTACGGCGTCCGTCCACGCTAGCAGCCAGGGCCGCAATTAAAAAAATCTTTGTTTGCCCTCGCCCGACCCAGGCTGAAAGGTTTGGGTAGGTAGGTCAGCTTCTTTTTTTTGAGGGGGGTATTTTTACAAATTCCGCATGGTGTCTACATGCTCGGGTGTGCTTGTGTGGAGATACCCTTTATGTTGAATGTTTGTTTTGCTTGGTACATATAATGTATTGCCTACAGATTTATATTTGTAAAAAAAAAGAATGGGAAAGATAAGTACTTTTTTTTGAGTCGGGCCCCATTTTGGCGGGTCGGTCGGGTGAGGGTAAACAAACAATATTTTTATTATGGCCTAGACGTGGCCGTCCCTACTGAGCAGTAGAGGCTGGAAACGTGCGAGTGTGATCGACAGTGATGGGCCAACGTTTCACTTTAACCCCCCCCCCTCACACAATTTAACCACGACCTATCATGTGAATCATAGTGAATGAGCGGGGGGGGGGGGAGTCTACCCCCAATATTTTTTACACCTCAGATCAGACGTGGCACACACGCGCTACACGATAGGCATAGTTTGATTTCGATAGCGTGCGCATGCGACGTCTGGGCTGTATCCTGCTCACAAAGATAAACATCAGTCTAGTGGTATGACTCGTACTGTGAAGGGACATGAAAGGGTATAAATATATATTATATATCATCATCAAACCAGCATATCAGATCCGCGTGGGGGAACACGGTAGAGCTGTGCCCTGTAGAGGCTGTCCTGGCCTCTTCTTCACACACATATATATTATCAGGAGTCTATCAATATTGATAGACTCCTGATATTATATACATATATGTGTATATAATATAATATATATATATATTATACATATATATTTATATCCTTTCACGCCTTCGACACTTTCAAACCTAATGAGAGATATATTCTTCTCACTTCCTTGCTACACCACTAGTCTAGGAATGCACGCGCGCATTGTTACCATCGCGTACAATTCACGAATCTGTTCATATCGACGACCCATCGACCGCAACGTTGTTTTAGCCACCATTCTTTGCGCTTCTGTAATGTAACTTCTGGGATGTAACTCCCTCCACTCCTGAACGAATAAAGGGTTGTAAGAGACCGTTTAAAAACATCCTAATGGTGTGCGTGGGGGAGAATGATTAGTAACTTGATAATAGATAACACTCCTTTCCTCTCACACTGTATACACATGCACGCAGGCGCACACAATATATATCTAGGCATAAGGCAATATATATATATATATATATATATATATATACACACAATACCAAGGGTGAACAATCTACAAGAGATACATGTCGTAGATTCGTCCCTGGTATAAATATATGTATATACTAACAACACACGGATGGATGGATGACCACCCTAGCTATGTATACCTATCTCTACGTTGCACTCGCTTCGTTAGTCACTCAGGCATTGTCGCCATGGCAACCATGGATAATTCACCGTGGCAGCCATTGTCTGATCGGCGCCGGCTCAACGCACCAGGCGGCGCCACCCGTTGCGACCCGATTCTGAGATTGAATGTTCACGTGTTTGCGATGCAGGCGCCACCTGGGACCGGTGCCGACGACGATAAATGAAGCAACTCTACAAGCGAAACGAACCACATCGATTTGGCAACGGGTTAATATTGGTTACGCCACACGGAACGGGTGAAACGCGCTGGCGAGCCAACGGCACCTGCGACCGCCGTGGCGCCATCTGCGCTCCCGCGAACGCCCCCGCGCATTTCGTCCGTGCCAAAAACAAAAATTCTGCACCAAGAAATAACTATTAACATCTCGATATACATGGCGCTACTATCACACGTTAGTCAAGTAAACCAGGAATCAAAAACCTGCGTCAGACACAGAACTACTGGTACTGGCTCGAGCGTTCGCTATCAGTATTGTTCGACAACAACAGGGACTATCTAGCTCGCTGAAAGGAAGATCACGCACGTAGATAGAACCAACCATTATAATAAATTACGTGACAACCAGGAGGTCACGACGAGGTCAGTTTTGATTCATTTTACAGTCCTTTCTCCTCTCTTCGCTTCTCACCCATACTCCCCTACTTCACTTATCCATCCTTCTCACTACCTCCCCCTGCCTGTCCACTGCTCCCTATCCCCCTTCCCTTCTCCTCACTTCCTTCCTTCCTATTCCCCTTCCCTTCACTTCCACTTCTTTACTTTCCCCCTTCACCCTTCTTCTTCATTCTCCCCGCTCGCCCTCCCCTCTACTTCCTAGCGTTCTCAGACTCTGCCTTGCTCAGTGCTATCGCTAGCTCTAGATCCTGCTGCTCCTGTAGAGCGCGCTGCTTGCGCTTGTCCTCCTCCAGGTGGCGACTCTCCGACGTTGCCCACGCGAGCTGGTCGTCTTCCGACATCCCCCTCGCCGACGCCAGCTTCTCCTTCTTCTCCTTCTCCTTCTCCTTCTTCAGCGAGCTGCGAGACTTAAACCCGAACATGTGCGACTTCTTCCCGCTGGACGTCGTGGACGTCGCCGTGGCGACCGCCGCGCGCTCGGTCGTCTTGGGCGGCGACGACGGCGGCGGCACGAACGCTGCCTCAAAGTCCGCGCCGCCCCGCCGCCCCACGCGCATTGCCAAGTTCCTCGCTTTTTGCAACCAGAGTCGAATTCGGCAGCGAGTCGGCAAAGGTTCGCGACACGCTGCCGCGCCCGATGTCCGCAAACGGGCGCTGCCGCCGAACGCGAGTCGGCAGGGGGCGCGACGCGCAGCCGCGGAGGCGGCGCCGCCCCACGGGTCAGCGGGGTCGCCGCAGGCCGTGACGTTTGGCACCTTTGAAACTGGCGCTCTGCTCGGCGGCCGCGTGGCGCCGAACGCCGGCGCTAGGTGCGCGGAACGCGGCCGGCGCATCGGCGACTCTCGGCCGCGGCAGGGGGCGGCCGGCGATTCCGACCTCGCGTTAGTCGGGTCGCGGCGGAGGCCACGGGCCGACTTTAGATCGCGCGGCGCGCGGCCGACTTGATCGGGGCGGCAGCGGTGCCGGCTCGGCGCCGCCGCTCTCTTTCTGATGCGCGATATTACAGTATGCGGGTCGCGCCAAGGGCTTGCGTGTCGAACCCCCACGGCAAGGGGACGGTTCCGCCTGCCCGTGGTCCTGTGTGGGCACGCGATCCCCCTCCTCCTCCTCTCCCCCTCTCCTCCTCTCCTCCTGCTGCGGTCCGCCCCCGCCTTCGACCGCAAACGGCATCGGAGTCGAACGTGGAAGATGGCGTCGCGTTGGCGAATGGGTCGGCCGCCTCGAACGGGTCGGACGCGAGCGCGGCGTCGCCCGCCATCGTGTCCCTGAAGGGGTCGCCACCGAACGCTTCGGCGGCGGCGGCGACGTCGTGGTTCGTGAAGGGGTCGTCGCCCTTGAATGGGTCGGCTTCTGCGAACGCTTCGTCGTCGCCGCCGGCAACCAGATCCGGCATCTTGCTCGCGCCGAACGCCTCGTGGTCGGGTCCGTTGGTGAGCGAGGGCGCCAGCTGCTGCTGCACGCTCGGACTCAGCCTGTAGGTGGCGCTGAGGTCTGCGTCGTCGACGCCCGTGACGTCACCTGTGTGCGCGGATGGAACGTTATTTTTTTCGTACAACGTCATCTTAGAATCTTGTTCGTGTTGTTCCGTGTAGACTACGATCTACCTAGCAATTAATTTTTTAGCTAATGACAACACACTAGAATAAAATATAATGCCGGTGATGTTGGATTGCTAACCCCAACTTCTTATGACTGTTAAAAGCAAGGGGCCCGTTGTCAGAAACAAAATTAGCGGCCCCTAGGATGATAACTAGTGGCCACTGCTGATAACCACCCATTATAGCAGGGGTTCTTAACGTGTGGGGTCCACGGATGGGCTTCAGGGGACCCGTGAACCAGGCGCATAAAAATAACCGTGTTTATGTGCTAATGTGCATTTTTCCGGAGGAGGGGTCTCCGTAGCTTTCACCAGATTCTCAAAGGGGTCCATAACTCAAAAAAGAAGCACTGCACTTTAGCTACCAACACACTACCCCCATGAATTCCCCCCCCCATTCATCGCTAGCTGTCAGCAGATAGTGGGTAGTTCCAGTAGTAGCTAGTGGTAACTTGAGACTCACTCGAGGCGAGGCAAGAGTCGAGACGTCTCATGACTGCCTCGATGTCGTCTCGCATCGTCTCCGTCGACTTAACCTGCTCTCTCAGCTTGCTCATTGTCGTCTGCGTCTGCTGCAACGCCAACCCAACCCTGCGGACAGAAAAGCAACCTGTAAATATTTCCGCAGCAGAAACTCCGCGAAAGTGAATCTTAATAGTAATCAAAATGAAATAATAAATAAAATCCTAAATTCATCACGCCCGAAAACGAACGACTCACACCTATAAGTTTGGTCTATATAAATTTAAATGTAAGCGAGAATGCACGCACACACGCGTGCGCACGTACGCAAAATGCGCATGTGCCTGCATGCATGAAAGAGTGTGTGGGCGTGCATGCGTGAAAGTCTGCGTGGGCGTGTACTGCAAAGACATGTGCATGCAGATCTACGAGTGAAGGTGACGATACTTGTCTAGTTCGGTGGCGGCGACGTCTGCGTCCGTCTGCAGTGTGTGCTCGTCGCGACGTAGCGCCGTCAGCTCCACCCGTGACTCCGCTAGCTGCTCCGCCTGCCCCTTCACATCGTCCACCTACCACACAGCATGATTACACACGTGTATGAGGGTCGTCGTCGGGGTCATGGTTAGGGTCAGTCATGGTTAGGGTCAGGGACACACGCACATGAGGGTCGTCGTCGGGGTCATGGTTAAGGTCAGGGACACGCGCACATGAGGGTCGTCGTCAAGGTCATGGTCAGGGTCAGGGACACACGCACATGAAGGTCGTCGTCAGGGTCATGGTTAGGGTCAGGGACACACGCACATGAGTGTCGTCGTCGAGGTCATGGTTAGGGTCAGGGACACACGCACATGAGGGTCGTCGTCGGGGTCATGGTTAGGGTCAGGAACACACGCACATGAGGGTCATCGTCAGGGTCATGGTTAGGGTCAGGGGCACACGCCCACGAGGGTCGTCGTCAGGGTCATGGTTAGGGTCAGGGACACACGCACATGAGGGTCGTCGTCGGGGTCATGGTTAGGGTCAGGGACACACGCACATGAAGGTCGTCATCAGGGTTATGGTTAGGGTCAGGGGCACACGCACATGAGGGTCGTTGTCGGGGTCATGGTTAGGGTCAGGGACACACGCACATGAAGGTCGTCATCAGGGTCATGGTTAGGGTCAGGGACACACGCACATGAAGGTCGTCATCAGGGTCATGGTTAGGGTCAGGGGCACACGCACATGAGGGTCGTCGTCGGGGTCATTATTAGGGTCAGGGACACATGCACATGAGGGTCGTCGTCAGGGTCATGGTTAGGGTCAGGGACACATGCACATGAGGGTCGTCGTCGGGGTCATGGTTAGGGTCAGAGACACACGCCCATGAGGGTCGTCGTCAGGGTCATGGTCAGGGTCAGGGACACACGCACATGAGGGTCGTCATCGGGGTTATGGTTAGGGTGTGGGTTAGGGCCAGGGTTATGGTCAGGTTAGGATAAGGGCTTGGGTAAGGGTAAAGGTAAGGGTTAGTATTAGGGTTAGGGTGAGGGTTAGGGTCAGGGTTATGGTAAGGTTAGGATAAGGGTTTGGGTAAGGGTCAGGGTCATGGTTCAGGTCAGGGTTATGGTTAGGGTCAGGGTTATGGTAAGGGTCAGGGTTTGGGTCAGGATTGTGGTTAGGGTCAGGGTTATGGTTAGGGTCAATGTTAGGGCCAGGATTATGGTAAGGTTAGGATAAGGGTTTGGGTAAGGGTAAAGGTAAGGGTTAGTAGTAGGATAAGAGTGATGGTTAGGTTCAGGGTTATGATAAGGTTAGAATAAGGGTTTGGGTAAGAGTAAAGGTAAGGGTCAGCATTATGGTTCAGGTCAGGGTTATGGTTAGGGTCAGGGTTATGATAAGGTTATAATAAGGGTTTGGGTAAGGGTAAAGGTAACGGTTAGAGTTAGTAGTAGGGTAAGGGTGAGAGTTAGGTTCAGAGTTATGATTCATAATAGGCATAGGGTCAGGGTTAGGGTAATAGTTAAGCTTAGGGTCAGCGTTCGGGTTAGGGCTAGGGTAAGGGTAAGTGTAATGGTTAGGGTAAGGGTTAGAATAAGGCCAAGAGTTCCGTCAGGGTTAGGGTTAGGTAGAGAAAATGTAAATTTTACGGTCGTTAACATTTCTCAGCTTTACACAGCTAAAACCTGATGAAGACCATAAACGAGTAAACACTAGTTGTTCACTTCTAACGTTACAGCGCACTGGCAACGAGTGACAGGCTGATTGAGCCGGCGTGGAGTGGACCTATGTCCTGTAGCGATGGTGCAGGCGTCCTCTCGACACACGTCAAGTATCACACGTTAGATCAGCTGAGCGGGGTAGTAGCATGTCGTACCTGCGTGGCCAGCTGCTGTTTCACATCTCTTATTGCTTTTGCCTCTTCATCACATTTCTGCTTCAAATCTTGAACAGTATTGTCTAGTTTCGTCCTGCCAAACCATTTGGGTAACAATTCAGTACATTACAACCAGGCATCACTATCACGAATAATGTCTACTTCTTCCTTCTTTCTCACTAAAGCCGTAATATATATATATATCATCAATCACAACAAACCTCTACCTGGATGACAGAAAAAGAAGCCATATGTTTCCAGCTACGTCACTTGAGAACACAAACGGTGCGCAAACATTTTAGGTTCTCTACAATAATAATTTAATACAATCAAAGTATAGAGACTTCACATAAAACTTTTGGCACCGCATTTCGCTTGCTATTCCATCG